CTGGTATAAAGAAAGTACTTTATCTTGACTCAGTTAGCGTATGTCATTTACAACGAGTTAATTTTTGCGCTTATTTCACAAAAAAAATCGAGAGTTAGCGAGAGAGGATTCCAATAGTGTCTTCGGATCGAAAAAGAATTAAATAGAAAATCTTTGATCGAGTCAGTAGACCACGAGCACTCCCTCCTCACTCCTCTCTCTCTCTCTCACACACACACACACACACACACACACACACACACACACACACACACACACACACACACACACACACACACACACACACACAAAATTATTAAAAAAAAAAGAATCGTTGTTAGCGCGCCGCGCAGAAGTGAGGCCTCACTAATAACAAAAACTAAAATCTACTAGCTAATTTTTATTAAATTATTCAGATAAAATAAAAACGTCGAAACCATTTAATTAAAAGTGAAATCAGTTCAGATTGTGATTACCAATTATCTCGCCAATTAACGTCAAATGTTTCAGCGACAAGGGAATTTTTTTTACTTTCGTATCCAACATTCCAGACGATTACAATTACAAAGAACTTTCGTAAGTAGGGGTGTCTCTGCTATTCCTTTAACATTAACTGCATTTATTCGCGTTTCATTTTCCATCCTTGAATTTATCGTTGAAAATTATTATGAATCATCGCCTGAGGAGAGAGGGACACTCATTAGTGTAGAGGTTCTTGGTTCTGTCACAAAAAAGAAAATTTACTTGATCCCTCCTCCTTAGGCCTTGTAGTATTCAAACGACCCTCTCATTGGCAGCCAATTTTCTATAGCCCCTCCACCTCGTTCCCAGGGCCTTTTCCCTTAGTTGGGAGTGGGGCTTCCAGGGCCTTTTCCCACCCCACCCTCACCTAAGTTAAAAGACCCTGGGAAAGAGGCTGTTCCCTCCTTTGATCTCTATTAGAGACGACTGATTTCTCCTCTGTTCCCCCCTGTGGACCATGGGATCCCAAAACTCCTCTGATCCTCTCCCTCAGGTGATAATTGTCACTGGTTCCTAATGGAATGGAATAAAGGGATGTGCAGTTCACTGACTTTCCATTTAACGCCTTTTCTCAATCGTCTGTTATGTCTTTGTTTTTCTTGTCCGCCGCTCGCTATTCCACCGTTTCTCAGTTTTCAAATTCCTTTGTTCCGCATTTCAATATTCGCAAACATCCCTGGTTTCTTGCTAGATCGAAAGTACGTTTAATCTTTTTTTTCTGCTAATTTATCTCTGCAAGTCAATGCATTTTTGTGGTTAAATCGAAGATCCAAAGAAGATTCGGGAAATCTAGCTTAACGGAACGGAATAAAGGAATATGTGGCCTAGTCACGTCCCATTTTTCTTTCCTTTTCTGGACGTGGGCCCTTTTTTCCTTATCCGCCGCTCCCTCTTCCGCCATTCCTCAGTTCCCAAACTTCCTTAGTTCCTCAAGCATTCCAATATTCTCAAACTTCCTTGGCTCGTTCGCCCGCTCTGTCGAACATTCGATCCATTTTTATTTCGGTTTTTGACTGATTTATCGCTGTAAGTCGATGTGTTTTGTGGTTAAATCACTTTCCATCATTAATCTATCGTTCTCATAAAAAAAGAGAATTCCTTGCTGAGAAATTTTTAAAATGTAGGTTGCAGTGAGTTTATGCTGAAGGAAATGTTATTGATTCTTGATTCAATAAGAGGAATTCGAAGTAGTTTTCAGATCACGCAATCGATCAGACAGAGGCATGTTTTCATTTTACCTTCGATTACCTTAAATGGCTTTTTTGATTTCTTGCAGATTTGAACTGTTTTGACTAAGCGCCTTTTACAGACATCCAAATAATTTCCTTGAAGCGAAGCCGGTAATGGAAGAGAACGAAAATTATCTACTGAGCCAAAAACTTCGAAAATAAAAATTGCTGGATTTTCCTGTGAACGGAAGGAGGCCCTGTGATACGAAACCAAACGAATATTTAAACTTCCTGTGGATCTGTGACTGGTTGTCGAGTAATTCTCTCTACTAATTTCTAAACACCTGGTCGAAAGTTGTATTAAGAATTAATCAATGGATCAAGACGGTGTCTGACTGAGGTGTCATATTCTGTGTTCCCCTTGATGGTCTGTTGACCGATGTAGAGAGAATAAAAATATTGGTCATAGTACAATGGAAATGTATGAGATTTTTACCACGATGTGAATGAATGAAGATCACAAATTTTTCGATCAAAATCGCAGACTCCCAATCATTACGCTTTCCATGTTCAAGAAAAATAAATTTTGTGGTTGTGCGTGACCGAAGAATTCTCAAGAGCCGGCGAGGGCGGACACCGACGCGAACTCTGAGTCCTTGCTCAAAATTATGCCCATATTAGGTAAAAATAAACGGCACGTTTGAAGCTGTATTCACAGCTTGCACGTGCAGAAAATTTCAATATTTTATCAAAATATGGCAAAATTTTGTGACTTGGACCCTCTTCAGGTGCGATTTTATTCTCAAACAGCGACAAATTTGGCCAGGTTTGCGTGTGAATATGCAAATATTTCGCTTTTCCGCAAGGATTCTTGAATAAACATCATCAAGTGAGCGTCATAGTGAGATAAACAGGCTTATCAGTCCAGCCAATCAGAGACTTGCACGAGTTTCCCTGTGTATATATAAACATGTAACGAATTTTACAGAAGTACATTTACAGCAAAGTCTAGCAAGAAGTTAATTGTATGTTTTGAATTTTTTCTATTTTAACCTTCTCGAAATGGCTGATGAGGACGTTGCTGCTTTGGTTGTGGACAATGGCTCTGGTATGTGCAAAGCTGGGTTTGCTGGAGACGATGCTCCCCGAGCTGTTTTCCCTTCCATCGTTGGTCGCCCAAGACATCAAGGTGTGATGGTCGGTATGGGACAGAAAGACTCGTACGTCGGCGATGAAGCCCAGAGCAAAAGAGGTATTCTTACCTTGAAATACCCCATTGAACACGGAATTGTGACCAACTGGGACGATATGGAAAAGGTAAGGTTTGCAGCTTCATACATATTGTACAAAAAATTATGCGAGTTACTCACGGCTTTCGTTAAATTTCAGATCTGGCATCACACCTTTTACAACGAACTCAGGGTTGCGCCCGAGGAACACCCAGTGTTGTTGACTGAGGCCCCATTGAACCCAAAAGCCAACAGAGAAAAGATGACTCAGGTAATATTCGTTTGCGAAAAACATATAAACAATCCGATGTTGTAAGGATTTTTATTCGGCTTGTAATTTCGAGCTAGGCCGGCAACTGCTCATTTTATCTCTTGCTGCATATTTTTAGTGCTGAGTAAACACGGCAAGGAGCGAACAAAAATTTCTGTTCTGTTAAACGCATTTCTATCGATCAAAATTTCGTGCGAAAGATTTAAACATAATTTTTCTGCAACGGATTTAGAGCTGTATGTAAATGAATCGCTGTTTAACGCTTGATCAATATTTCATCTGGGCTATCTCTCGACGGCGAAACTTGTAAGGTTTTAATTGCGTAACCTCTTACTTGGGGGAGGCAAGCGGAAAGTTACATTTCACTTTTAATAATTGGGCCACGGCGCGAATCTGAAACCAGTATGGTGCCGTTGAGACTTAAATAACGAAGGCTAAATCTACCAAGAATATTGTTCAGAAAAGTGTAAATTTTTTCTGGTTTAATCAAGTTGAATTATGTGTCCACCGGGACCTCTAAACAAGAGACAATCTGTAGCCTTATATGGTCATGTTGTTTTGTGATTGGTCAGGTTGAGAATCACACTATTAGTTACGAAAACGTGACTAAAGAATATTGTTGAGCTATACTGCTCAGTGGTTGCTATTTCTTTAGAACATTATGATTTACAAATCGACATTTTCTTAATAATCATTCTTGAAAAAAAAAAAGCTGTTAACTAGCACTTCAAAAATTGTTTATGTATAAGCTGAAAAGAGCATATCCGTTCTATTGCGAAATTTGCGTAAATATTATTTCAAGCAAACAACAGGTATTGTTTGTCGTAAATTTGCTGATTGCGAAGAACTGGATCGCTGCATGAGGTTTATCACCGGAAACTACCACAGAACTGAAAGGAACGAAGCTGTTCCTTTGTTAATCAGCAAGATAGTCGTGTCATTTTAAATTTCGAGTCAATAATTTTCGGCAGATGTCACAAGACTCGTAACATAGTTTATTAAGGAATGGATAGCCTGTGTACAGCCGCCCCTCCGCTCGATTTTTTCTGAGGGGAGGGGCGGCCCTACACCGGCTAGGAATGGAGCTCTTGTTGCGAAGATATTTGAGTTAATCGTGACCTCTCTCTTCTTTCAGATTATGTTTGAGACTTTCAACTCACCAGCCATGTACGTTGCCATCCAAGCTGTACTTTCGCTGTACGCTTCCGGTCGTACAACTGGCATCGTTTTTGACAGCGGCGATGGTGTTAGCCACACTGTACCAATCTATGAAGGATATGCTCTTCCCCATGCGATCCTTCGTCTCGACTTGGCCGGCAGGGACTTTACCGACTACTTGATGAAGATCCTGACGGAGCGTGGTTACTCTTTCACCACAACCGCCGAGCGTGAAATCGTGCGTGACATCAAGGAAAAGCTCAACTATGTCGCCCTTGACTTCGAACAAGAAATGCAGACCGCTGCCTCAAGCTCTAGCTTGGAGAAGAGCTATGAACTCCCTGATGGACAGGTTATCACCATCGGAAACGAGAGATTCCGTGCTCCAGAGGCTATGTTCCAGCCATCATTCCTTGGAATGGAATCTGCTGGTATCCACGAGACCACTTACAACTCCATCATGAAGTGTGATGTTGACATCCGTAAGGACTTGTACGCCAACACTGTGCTGTCTGGTGGCTCCACCATGTTCCCAGGAATTGCTGACAGGATGCAGAAAGAAATCACTGCCCTGGCTCCACCCACAATGAAGATTAAGATCATTGCTCCTCCGGAGCGTAAGTACTCTGTATGGATCGGAGGATCCATCTTGGCCTCTGTGTCCACCTTCCAACAGATGTGGATCTCGAAACAGGAATATGATGAATCTGGCCCATCCATCGTTCACCGCAAATGCTTCTAAGCTAACCGATGGCTTCAGAAGAACTGATTTTGTGGAAACAATTTGAGGATAACGCTCTCAACTGACTTTGCGCCCACTCCAAAAAGACTTGAAAAGATTATTTTCAAGAAAACGTTTGACTATTGTGATATGAATCGTTGATAGTTTTATAAAAGATGTGAAAATAAACGTTGAAAATTAGCAGCAATACGACTTCATTACTCTCTGTAGAGTTGATTTTTTTCTTCCCATCGAGTTTGAAGCTAAATTAAGAATAAAGGTTGAAAATAGGCAGCCAATACGACTTCATCATTGCCTGTTAAGTTGAATTTTTTTTTCCATCGAGTTGGAAGCAAAATTAAAATTTTTGGAGAAATTCCTACTCGTGTCATTTGCATTTTTTAGCATTGTCATCAAATCTTGGGAGAGCGCTTTCCAAGAAGATTGAGGTCCCTCGACCAGAAGGAATTCAGCATCGATTCCCTCGAGCCTTTCAACTGGTTTGACTGTGCGCATGTCACGGATAAAAATCAATATTTCCTGAGGTTCTAATGGCTATGTTGAGAACGGACGTAAACGTAGCCATGTGAATTAAACCGGAACTTGCTTGACTTCTGCAACCCTGCAATCCCTAACGTAACGGCAAGGAAGAACACTCTAAACTCCCCCTCGTAATACATTAAGATAAAATATTGTGCGCCACCGGATGAGGTCAGAACTGTTACGCAACGATTGCGTGCAGCGAAGCAAAATCTGTACTGAAATCTGACAACATCCATTAACTTTCCCGATCAAAGTAAATAATTATCCGCTGACTTCGCCGCAGGGCCTCTTCTGAGCCTCGTGGGAAACTATTAGCCCGTATAAATTCTCCGCTTCGGAATATTTCCGAAACCGGAACCGTGTTTGGCCTCTTTTTTCCGCGGGGGTGGTCGACAGTAGTTAAGAGAAGGGTAGGGAAAATAAAAAAATTCTCCTACATATTTAGTATCTTACGAACAGTGTTAACTTTGAAGTTCCGCTAAATTGCGCTCTAAAATTAACCATATAAAATGTTTGTGAATGATTCTATACCCCGCGTAAAATCGACCTGACCCTACTCCTAGAGGGGTTCAGCAATTTTCTCCCAGCATACCCTGTAATAGTTTCCGTCGTGGGGCTGGCGATGAAATTTCTCCCAGTCCGCTTTCATTCTTGTAGTAAGTTTCTAGTTGTGGCTTGGTTACTGGACTTTTTTTTTTCGTTCAACGTAACGTATTAACAGATATAAGGATATATATTCGCTACCCTGGAGAAATCTGTCTGAAAGTGAGAGTTGACAATCCAAAACCTTGTTGATCATTTGGTTGCTGGTGAATTCCTCTGTATTCTGGTAGGTTACTCAAAAAGTACTTGTACGTAGCGGCATTTAATTTCATTTCTTTATATATCTTACTTTCACCATTTTTTCATGGTCAAATCCGTGGGAAATATTGTATTTTTCGAACCCATGGCCACTCACCGGCGCCTTGATGTTGTCCAAAAGACAAACAAGATACAATGACAGTCTAGCTTTCATTCTTTCCCCTGT